TTGATAAGCGAACTCCTCGTGCCGTTTGGTTTAATTTCTTGGCTTTAACGTTAGCGCTGTACTGCTGTCTCCATCCAATATAACCTCATGTTTTCGCTTCTCATGTTCCAAGTTCCAACAAATATTTTAAGTACCAGACCTACTATCAATCCGAAAAAATTATTATTCAACTCGATTGAATCAGCGTTGGTGTCGGATATATAATAATGACATAAAAAATAAAGTATATAATAGTATATAATAAGATGAAAGCAAAAATACTAAATTATTATCAATATTAATGAAAGTAGTATAAAAATTATAAATTGATTCGCATGGATACTTACCTTAATAATTAGTTTATTTACTAAATTAATTATTAACAAAAGCCTGGCGTAGTATTGATAAGCATTGATGTGAGTCTTTTTTTACATCATACAACCATCATTGTCCTTTTATGCTTTTTTTTTTTTTTAAGTGCTTGGTCCTTCCTCAATCTCGAATTATTTTTAAACTGCGGTGAAATCAAGTATTCTGATTAGCCACAATCACTCGGTAAATCAACCAGATTGACGTAATTTAAGAATACCTGTGAACAAAGAAAAAATTATCTAATGGTCGACTAAATTAAAATTCGATTCTGAATTAATAAATGTGAGTCAATTAAACACCGATAAATTACCAGCTTCGATCTGTGTTGATGATCTGGCGTCTTGGTTTGAGATCTTTGATGCGACGGTGGTGTTTTTCTTGGTTCCTATACTGTTGGTTGCTATTTGGTTAATGTCTTCTTGGCTATTTTTTTAGAGTTCTGTTTATTCGCTAACACTTCAGTTTATGGGTTCTTTTTTTCACCAAACCATATTACGTTGGAAACCCCATATACTGTGCATGTGTTGCAATGATCCCAAAGCCTATCAATATTGGCTTTCTGCGGATCAAAGTAGAAGTCATATATAAAAATGAAAAAGAAAAAGAGACGGTTCATGATGACATGTGAATCTTTAATTTGTTTTCATTTCAAAGCTGGCCGGATAAACAGCTTCACATTTCTTTAACAGCTGCCCCTAATATTTGATAAAATAGATGTCTTGTCAAACAGCTTCGTATTCCTTTAAGATTGAAAACAACAGCTTATTTTGGCATTTCCCTTGTTTGATCTATGGTGGTCCTTTTAAATATGTCTGGAGAGCATTATTAATTCAGTATCAGAATCTCTGATTCAGCACAGTATATCCCATTCATAATCTCTTGCTGTTTCCACATAAATAATGCATAGGTAAAAACTAAAAAATCAGTAGCATGCAAATACAGTTCGTGTTTAAGTTAACTTTTAAACCTCAGTTTACTGATCCATTTATATATATATATATATATATATATATAGGCTGTTGTATTCTTTCTTTTTGGGGCTGAGAGTGGCTTTTTTGTCTGTCATATTGCATTGCATTACAATTATTTAGGAGATGCAAATTCCTTCTTTGTCTGTTCAAATTTCACGGTTGGCTTCTTCTATTGTTTAGTTGCGGCAGCTATTTTTCACGCACATTGCTGGTCTTCTAAGGCTGCAGTAGTCCACGGTCTTGTGTTTACATTAACATGGATTCATCCTTCCATGTAAAAGGGAGAAAGGGGCGATTTTCATTGACAGTCTTTAATGACTTTGTAGTTGATTCAAGAGGAAACTAATCCTCAGGCTTTCAGGGGATTCATGGAGAGAATGAATTCATTGGCACCATCAACTTGCATAAACCATCAGACGGATGGTGATGTTGAGAGTGAGACTGTTTCGGAGGCAGGAGATATTGGGGATCGAGCCCTTCATACCTCTTCAGATTTCACACCTGAAAATGGAGTTGTTTCTATTCCAGGCGATCAAAAGTTGCAGCCAAGTCCTGTGGCATTAAGTTCTATCTCCATTGGAAAGCCATCAGCACAATTAGTGACCTCTCGTTACAGTAATGGAAAAGGGGGTCCTGAACACATAAAGGTGAGCCCAATTCACCAATTTTTAAGTCAGTTTTCTTGTTGCTATTTTAATAGATTATTCATAGTCTCGTCTCTACGTGCAGGAACACGATAAGGGGTTACCAAATATACTGGATTATGTTTCATGCATGATTCATTTAGCTGCTTTTGGAATTCTTGGGGTAATTTGCTAACCTCTAACTTGATAGAATTGGTGTTGGCTCTTGTGAGCTTCTGCTGTAATTAATTATTGCTTCTGCTTTAGAGAGCTTATGGCAATTTTCACTTGTTCTGAGAATTATGGAATTTTCGCTTCATGGGCCATAATTTTTCATCCTGATTTTCTTTATCATCAATTTCATTTTGGCATATGCAATTATTAGGCAGATATTGATATGCCATTTCCCCACAAAAAAAAATACAGGTCCTCACAAGATACTTGCTGCAAAAGTTGTTTGGCCCCGATGGAGCTGGTGTGACAAGTGACCACACTATTCTTTACCTGGATCTGCCTTCCAATATGGTCTCTCCCTGAGACACCCTTTCCTCTATCCTTCCATCATGCTTTGATATTTATAAGCCTCGGATGCTGCTGAAGTTCTATGTTTATAAAAGAGAACAAGACAAAAAGCCAGTACCTTGCTCAGCATTTCGTTTCCTAGATTATGCGCTGATAGCCTGACACAAACTTAATATTCCATTTAGGTCGGTTCTTTTTTGATGGGATGGTTTGGCGTAGTATTCAAGGGGCACATATCCCGTGTGTCAGAGCATCTCACAATTGCAATAACAACTGGTTATTTAGGGAGCCTTACAACCTTTAGTGGTTGGAACCAGAAAATGGTTGAACTTAGTGTTGCTGGACACTGGCTATTCTCCGTTCTTGGTTTTATAATAGGTAATGACTAATGAGATGCATTTGATCAGTGTATTTAGTGGTACTAATCATCTCATTTTCACCTAAGCATGTCTAAGTTGATGGACAAATTTATATATAAAAAAATGGATTTTGCAGGCTTGTTCCTTGTTGGTTTTTCCATCATATTCGGAATTGAGACAGCCAAGGGGTTCAAGTGGCTCATCAGCAGGCTAAAGATGAGATCAAGAACTGGCTCTTGTAATGCTGAGATAAGCAGAAAAGTGCACAGTTACAAGCGACAGTTGGCAGTTATGGCAGTGTGCTTGGTGATGTTAGGCTTCTTGTGGGGTCTAAGTAGTACGTTGGTGAGGTCCGAGTTCAAGCATGGACACAGTGGGGCTGAACCATGGCTGGCATGCCTGGTCGGTCCTTTAGGTGTGTGGATTAGGTGGTTCTTAGCTCGACTCAATGGGCGTGGCGTGGGGAGGGCAAGGCTGCTGATATGGATTCCATTTGGGACTCTGATTGCCAATGTTTCTGCCGCTTGTGTAATGTCTGCACTCGCTACTGTAAAGAAATCAGTGAGTTCCTTCTTCTTTTGTCTTACCACACAATTTGCTGTCAATGAGAATGGTTGAATACCACCTTGACTCTTGGAGCTCATATGCTGATGCAGGCGAACACCTGGAAATGTGACACTATTGTGACAGGCATTCAGTTTGGGCTGTTGGGTTGTCTGAGCACTGTCTCAACCTTTGCTTCTGAGTTCAACGCCATGAGAGAAAGCATGCAGCCTTGGAGAGCATATGCCTATGCTATGATTACCATATGCGTCTCCTTCTGTTTTGGGATCTTAATATTCTGCATGCCTGTGTGGCAAATGTCGTTGGCGTAAACTTCTGAGGGTAAAATATCCTCATTTGCACGATACCTATCATGATAGCAACCATGCGCTCTCACAGCGTATAGGGTAATGATCCATTTAGAAAGCGTCAAAGCGATGACAGGTGACGATCATCTTCATCATGGGTTTAGTATTCGAAGCCTGACAGAAAAATGTTGTACTGTCTTTGAGTAGTAGTGAAAATATACCACTAGAATCTCGCTTTTGAAATTAAGATGCGCGATTGTATGGTGAATATCGAAACTGATAATTAGTAAACAAGGAATATAAGTATATCTCATTAATTAAACAGCGAAATTTCATGCAAGAGACTTAATTTCAGCGAAGCCAATATTGTTAAAGTTTTCTCTTGGTTTGGATGAAATTAACGTCCTATAGCGGGAGGCTTTGGGTTGATAATTCAACGCAAGGAGGGAAAATAAGGATCCCTGCCGCCCGCAATGACAGTGGGATCATCCTTCTCATTTGGGATCCTAATACAGTGCGTCCGACCACAAACCCTTTCCTTCCCTGTTACTTAAGGACGTTCCGTTTTGGGATAATTATAACGAGGTTTCAAAAAAAATAATTACCAATATTGAGTAGTTGTCATTTTCTATCATGAAATTTATCACTGGAAATTGTTTTATTGTTATTGGGATTTTTTAGTAGTAATGTTCTTTTTTTGAAACTTCATAACAATTCTCCCTCTCGTTTTTACACCACATCATCGTTAATCCACCACCATGAATCCTTCTCATGCACCCTAAGAATAATTTTCTAAAATGATAACTCTAGAAACTCGTTGTGCTAATTATGCAAGTAGTTGCACCAAAAATTTTGAGTACCAGTAAATGGCTTAATTGAAGTTACCGTAACATGAAGGCACTGATTGATTAATCTTTCCATTATTTTCTTGGACCGAAAAAAGTAAAAAAATCTTTACATTATTTTCTTGTTCTTCCTCAGTAAACATAAGAGAACCTGCTCTCGAAAGAGTCGAGATCGCACACTGCCAACGCTGGCTCCGGAATAAAAAACGTCATCAATCCCCTCTCAAGAAAATATTGGCCAACATATTACTCGGTTCATCGGTTGGATCATTTATTACTAATAATCAACTTGCCAATATACCTGACATAAATTTCTGAAAAGACGTCAACATTTCTAGTGAACTTGGTTAAGGAGTTGAATTTGAAAAGCCAATCAATTAGAGAGCAAGGGTCAAGTGTTGGACCTCGAAACAGTCCAGCTCCCAATTAAGAAGTAACTAAATCCATGAGAAACACAACCCATCAGAACACAACCGAAACGTTAACAAGAAGGTGTGATTTTTATACTCTTACTGGGTCGGACAAAGTTATAAAGTATACGCATTGTTGGTTAAATTTCTTGATATACACAAACTTTTTTTTTGTTTTGGTAGAAATGCATAGATAAACTCCACAATGGCACTTCATAGGCATGTTCAAAGAGTTCAACTCCTGATACTTATAGAGACAATTTGGGCAAGATAACTGTTGAATCCATTTGAACCACCTACAATACTCAGCCACAGCAGGAGCCACAGGCAGGCAGAGAACCTGTAAGTCCAATTCGGGGAAGCCCAAATAAATTGGTTAGCACAGACTCGGAATAGAAGTTGAGCTGCAGCAGATGCATCCATATGTCCAAGAAAGAGAGGAATAACGAAAACATGTACTTACTATGATCAGCCCCCTAACGCTGTCTAGTCCACGAACATTGTCAAGACCACGGCGAGGAGGACCCCGTGGACCGCCACCATACGGTCCCCCAGGACCTCCAGGGCCACCACCATCCCATTTCTTACCGGAACCAGAACCTTTTCTGTAGGCATCTGACTTTTCCATCTAGAGATGATGGCATTATGAGCTAGCATTAATTAAAGGCAATATAGAATTCTTATAAATTCTAAAAAAGAAAAAATAAACATAAATTTTAACATTACCGAAAACATTGTTGCAAAAAAAACTCCTATGAAGTTAACAATAGCCCAGAAAAAATCAGTGATTGTTTTCAGACGCCATATTGATCTCTTCGATTTAACAACACCTGCAAAAAATTGTATCAAGTTCTTTGTAAGGTCCTTTCATAACGAGTGAGATGATAATGTAGAATGCAATTTCAAAATGTTCTTCCGAAGTAACCAGACAATGCATCCCAAAAGGGGGCAAGGAATAGATGCAGATACGTAAAAAAGGAGTCATGTAAAGTTATCACTAACAACTGGATCAGCAACATCACCAGAAAACAGAGGCTTACAGGAAAAAAGCGGCATCAAGAATTAAGTGGTTCGCTGATGCAAAACTCAGCTGACAATATATCAAAATTTTCACACATAAAACATTACAACTTGAAGATTTTGATTTTGAAGATCAAAGTGAGTCTCTGTTGCATGCAAGCGATGTGCAGCACTATCTGATCAACTGCTAATCCCAACCAAAAGAACATCAAGCAAGATAATACCTAGGCCCAGAGCCAGGATAAATATGGACTGCTTGATGGCCCACTTTTCTGTACGCAATAGATTTAAAATTTCGCCAATATGATCCTCAAAATAAAACATTCCAAAATACGCCTGACCAATTGTAGGGCTGTAACAATAAAGGTTTATGTCTAGTGGTTATGAATCTGCACCACTTCCTTGTTAGCTTGTATGCATGGATGTATTTGCAGAGGTAACTTATTTGCCGATTCAGAAATCACATCAAGTCATCAATGAAGAAAGACAAAACTTGAGCAGAACTAAAAGCAACAACTAAGAGTCATTGGATTGCAAATTTAAGACAGCTAGAAGTGCGGGAATATCTATCAGAATTCACATAGCATGTATCCCGTCACAGATTGCAGTTAAATACATCAAATCGGGGATAAGCAATGGACACCGCATAGAATAGAATCCTAGCACAGCAGCGTTTCATAATGCTCATTATGATATCTAATCCTAACATTTGAAAGCTTCTTTTGGGGTGGAGAATGAAGGAGAGGAAACCAAAACGTATGAAGGATATCGTTCCCCAAGAACATATTGAACATCTACCTCTATGAGAATCTAGTTATTAGCCGCTCAACGATCAGAAATAGATAATATCAGTGTAAAACAGTAAAACCTTTATCATACGCCAATTAGTGGCATCAGAATTGTACTCTAAGTTTCAGCTAGATTTCAGGAGACAATGAAAAAACCGACGAAGAGGAATCAAAGCTGCCTTCTTCAACTCGGTTGATTGCCCCAAAAGGAAAAACAGAAGTTCTTTCTAATCGTATTCCCCAATCATAAAACATCAACTAAATTGCAATTGATAGAGACAACGGGGTAAATTACACCGGAGATTGAGATCAAGGCTCCAAGGATTGCAATAAAGCAAATAAAACTTATTACACAAATAAACCAATACCCACATACCGCCATGAAAAGAAACAAAATTGGGAGGAGCAAAAGAGGAAAATACCTCGCTCGACGTAAGCCATGGTAGATTCTCCAACGCAGGACTTCTGCTATTGAAATTGGAAATAATTTTCGCTATTGATCTCTTATTATTTTCAGATGGAGCAGGGGGGTGGGGAGATCGTACGAGAAATTCGACGTCAATGGAAGAGGGTTCCAGATTCTAATTGGCTATCGCCACGTAAATTCAACTGGAGGTACAGGTGTCCCTCTTTAATTGGAAGATGAATGAGTCCCTTGCGGTCAAGTCAAGATGAGAGCGTGTCCTATTTGCTTTTGGGCCAATGGCCCAACAATGCTCGATCTCCGTAGAGTAAGCGCTAATCAGTTTGTTTTTTTTTTTAATATATACTCCTCCGGTCCTTATTATAAGACCCCATTTGACTTTTTATTTGGTCCTAATCATAAGACCCCAATCCATTTTGTCTCTTATATTTATGCATTTTTTTTCAAGATAATCCTTCTAATAATGATAGTTTTAGCCAATATACTTAATTAGCAAGGATATTTTAGGAATGACAACATTTATTTATTATAAATAACCAACTTAACTCACTTCCTTAATCTCCTCAAATAAGTCAATTGGGTGTTATAATTAGGACCGGAGGAGTACACATACATACATATATATATATATATATGCTTATTTCACCGTTTTTTATATGCCGTAATCGCCAATCGGTAATCACAGATCAATCAGAATTTCGGACAAATTTAACAATGCGCAGTGTTTTAAAAATATCAACCAATTTGTAACTGCTCAAAGGAAAAACAAATTAAAACTAATACTTCATACCACGCAATTAAGTCTCGTTTTTTTTCTTACAATAAAAATTTCTAATGACTGAGATACAAAATTAAGGTATAAAATTTGCAACTGTAAATATTGAAATTTTAATAACAAGAATATAAATTTGAAAACAAATTAATAGTAATAAAAAAAAGGAACGGGATTGGGTGAAAAATAAAAGGGCCTCTGAATTTTATAACCTGAATCATATCATGAAAGGGGGTCCTGCCTTCTCAATTTCATATCATCTTGGACGAAATAATTTCGAATGAACATGGAAAAATCAGAATCATGAAGACCTCCGAATCCTAAACGGAATTAAAACTCCGCAGATCAAAGCTTAAGGTCTTCATATCAAATATAGGAAAAGAACACGGAACCAAAAACATTAAGACAGTAATACAGAATTCAGCGGCTCTGATCCAAGAAAAGAGGGTGGGGCAGCCAATGCCTAATAACCTTGTTCATTGAGTTAATTAAATAGGGAGAAACATGACCTCTCGTGGAAACATAAAGTTCAAGTAATCAGAACCAGGGTAAATTATCAACATAGATTAAATACGCAAGAATGAGAAATTCAAGTATTTCAGTGGACAGTTGGACACCCGATTGACTTGTGATAAACTCGTTCTTCACTACATGACTATCTTACAGAAGAGAATAAGAAGTGCTCTTACAGAAGCAGCAACCTCCTTATAGCAAGATGTAAGAACCACAGTAGAGGATTCTGTACAATTACAATGGCGTCCACAAGAACTAATATAAGCAGCAAGGGTTCTGAAAATATGCAGAGTTGGAGATCTTATCTAGGTCCTGAGATATCTTGTGAAGAAATGTAAGAAAAAGCAGTTTGAGAACCACTAGTTGTAGTTGAAGGTTTCTGTGCTTGTTTATCAGCTATCACGGAAGCCTCCGTAAACCTACGCCCATAAAAGCGCAAGAAATTCAAAGATTCAATCCTCGGCTGGGCCAGTGGAGTCCCACCTTCCAACATGCCAACAATGGCAGCCATATTTGGCCTCAGCGACGGTTCTTCATGAACACAGCACAAGGCTATACGCACTAGTTTCTCCACCTCCTCATTCGAAACACGCCCTTCTAGTCTTGGGTCGGCCAATTCAAGGTGCCTACCTTGTTCATGCATCTCTAAGGCATGTAGTGGAAAATAAACCAGTCCTGTCCTAGATGACGTCCCTGAATGGCCACTCATACTATCGTCCTTGCTAGGGATTTCTGACCCCGGAGAACAATTTTTTCTTCCGCTCACTAGTTCAAGCAGTACCATTCCAAAACTATAAACATCAGTCTTCTCTGTGATTGCAGAGTTAGTAAGCCACTCTGGAGCTAGATAACCACGCGTGCCTCTCATTGTTGTGAATAAACCAGACTGCTCGGGGCTGAGGAGTTTCGAGAGTCCAAAATCAGATATCTTGGCCTGAAAGTGGTCGTGCAGGAGAATATTCTCAGGTTTGATATCACAGTGAATGATCTTCTGCTCACACCCGCCGTGCAGGTAGGCAAGTCCACGCGCTGTTCCAAGTGCTATGTCGAACCTCTCTTGCCATTCTAAGACTGGTCCACCACCAAAGAGGGTGCGATCCAGGGAGCCACGATTCATGTACTCATAAATCAACAAACGCTGTCTTCCTTCAGCACAAAAGCCTTTCAGTTTGACCAAATTAACATGGTGAATATTTCCAATAATTGCAATCTCAGTGCAGAAATCCTTTTTCCCTTGATTTCCCATATTTACTATTTTCTTTACCGCCACAACGGTCTTATCAGGCAGTTGTCCCTTGAACACCGCACCAAATCCACCTGAACCGATTAAAGTCTTAAAATTATCGGTAGCCTCCACAAGTTCTCCATAATCATACCTTTTAGGTAAACCTGGAATATAGAAGGCCTCCAAGTCCTCTGAAGAATGTGATTTGAACTTGCCTAATATTACCTCTTTTCCCTTGGAGATTCTAAATCTTCTAAGCCAGAGGAAACCGAGAGCCAGAGCAATAATGAATCCAGCAAGAGGTATTAGCACCAGAGCAGCCACAGGAAGCCCCTCTTCTTCAGAAGCAGGCTCATCAATAGCAGATGCAGCAATAACTTTTATGTAGCCCAGCGAGTTACTTGCACCTCCACTGCTCGACATAATAGAACCCAACTCATTTTGAAGCATATAGCAGGAGCCAGACGAATCTTCGTAGAAAAATCCCAAGCACGAACAATTCCATGAACAGAGGTCTTGGCAAATAGTTAAGTTCACTACATCTATTACGGTGTTAGAGTAGGTATTGCCAAAGTACTCCATACCATCCCCGAGTTTCAAATACGAAACAGCTGAAGAATTTGATGCACCATCATAGACAGATGAATTACACGCAGATGGCAAAGAATAAGAACCATCGCTTGGTACACAACCCGGAGCATTCCTTGAGCCTGCATGGAAGTTTGGGGGACAAGAACATGTAGGTGAAGAGGACGCAGAGCCATAAGTACATAATCCTAATCTGCCACAAAAAAATGGAGTCTTACAACCATCGTCTGGCCCCACAAATTCCTGGACCCAATCAGTACCGGAAAAGCTTTGGACAGTAAACTGGCCATTAACAGCCAATTTGGCAATTCTGAAATCAGCCGTGGGCAAGAGCACCCGAAACACAGTCACTGTTCCGTTACTTCCAAGGAGATCAAGAGCTGTTCTGTTTATAGCCATATATTCCACCCTATCATTTGAATTCTTAAAGGCTTTTGTGGCCATCGACAACCTCCAGTATGTCTGTCCATGCCACTGAAGTATTGCATCAGATGGAGTGATACTCAAGTTGTAATCCCCAGTTGACAAGTCAGACCCTGATGTCGCACTCGACAGCCATGTCCCAACAGGTAAGCGCTGTCCAATGACAATTGTGTCTGTCGGGTGCTGGAAACTCTCCCAAAGAGAGCCATTGGAACGATCAAGTAAGAGGAGATTGCCCGTTTCAGTAAGTTTTAATGCGGATACTGGTGATTCCAATGGTGGGGTTGACCATTTGAGGTTTCCATCACGATCAAAAACGGTGATTCCTTTGACAGTCAGATACATCGTACCAGAATTTGAGATGGGAGCATCACAATTGGCCGACCAAATGATTGTGTGGGATGGCACATGTATGACGGACAGGTAGAATCTGGATTGTTGATCTCCAGGATTGAATATAGCAGCCTCGAATGTTCCATTACGGGATGACAAGAAGGTGCCAGAGCCGTCAATGAATTGAAGATATGAAGCAGTGAAATTTGGGCGGATGGATTCCGAGAAAGTGTAAGCGGATATGGCAGAAAAGAAGAGAAAAAAGAGAGGGAAATAAAAGATAGACTCCATCATGTGGTTTGAGGAAATGCAGAACAACGACTGGGAAGGAATGGGTTCGTTGAGAAGACAACGAAAGAGAATGGAGTTGATCTGATTGCGTGTTCTCCATTTCTTTCCCCCCCTTTTTTTAATTTGTTTCGGCTGGCCACCCAATTCTCCGTTGACCAGTGAAGCTCCTGGCCTGTCTACACCTCCTCTCTCAACCAGATTGATTCCAAATTCCAATTGATGATCAAGGATGAAGATTAATAAATAGATTACTACTTGTGGGGTGATTAAGTGAGATAGGAACTTGAGAATAAAAATTTCTGAGCTGACGAGTCAAACCTCTCGGTGAGTATTATATGTTCTCTCTTGAGTAATTAGTGCAGTCATCTATGACCCGACAGCTCAACGCCATATCTGTATTATGGTATTCATAATCATTCCATAGTAATATCTTTGAAAGCCAGAATCGTCATCCTCGAATTATATCGTTTTTGACCCAAAAAAAAAAAACACAGAGCCAGAAAGAAGATCTTTTGCTGACGATCATTTATGTGAGAATTAAGTCCTTGCCTACATATTGCATTCTGCACCATTCAAGGGCTCATTTTCAAAATATTCACTTTCAACCTTTGAAAACAAGCAAAAAGCAGCACTGAAACTGGTTCCTCTCTTCCTATGGAGAAAAACAGTAAGAGAGATTAACAGATGTAATATTTTATACAAGCGAAACGCTTGATAATGGAGAAGGCGTCGGACATCTTTGCCCTCTTGCTATTCCTATTGGCTTGGCGTGCATCGAATCACTGACATGTTGTGTTTTGGCCGACATTGATCTGTTATTCAGTTTTAAATATTTCACATGGAGAGGTGTAGAAAACTTATAAAACAGGCATTATCTTAGCCACAAAGCCCACAAAATGTTTTAGAAATGTTCATAAATGAGCTTGACACGATCACGTTGTGGTTTTATACATGAAGGCTGGGATGTATCTGACGCAATGGGAATATTCTTGTATTTTTAAATAGCAACATAGTACACTTCGGCCCTGAAAAAAAAAATAGTGAACCCATTTGAAATGCACGACTTGGTATGATTTTTTTTTTTTTTAATAATGTTGTGAATTCGGATGCGCTGAGTGCAATAATATCACAGAAAATTACACATGTTTAAGAAAAAGGAAGTGGTGAATATGGTTCCACGTACACATGCAATAAATATTGGACGGCTGGAAAAATCTGCATCGAATCCAATTGATTACTTATAAAGCAGCATATGGTCAACAACGGAGCATGGCTGGCAAAAATAAAAAATAAAAAATACAACTGTTGGCCCAAAAAACTAACGCAGCATGGAACATGAGTGTTTTGGGGTTATTAATTTAATAATGTAACTAAACAAGAGTTGGGTCTAACAGAAATGACTAGTTCCTCACAACATGAAAAATCAAGATTCGAATCTTTGAGAGATGTCCACACTTAATATCTGACAGTAACTCGAATATGATTGTCTCTAATAGAAGGATGCCTATATTTTAGTAAAAAAAAAAATCAATAATGTAAGCATGCAAAGAGTGGGCCATTATTTTGGCGGTAGATAGAAGGTCCACCGGATGTGGCGAGGCATGCGGTGGTCGTCAATTTGACAATTTTGCGTATGGCACTAATTAAGACGTTACGGGTCCACGAATTTTATGTTCTTGATGATATATTATTATAAATTATAAATTATACTTCTCTAGTCTTTAATATATAACCTGATTATTGAATTGATCTTTGTCTTAAATATAATATCTATTTATCATATTTATTAATTTTTTTTTAAATTATCTCCATTGATATACTCTCTGAACCATAATCAAGCAGAACATGAAAGGAGAATATTAAGAAAGATGATTATGATATTTTTTAATCTAATCAAATTAATTAAATAGGTCGTATATTAAGAATTGAAGGAGTACAAAGGTATGAACTATTGCCATCTCATTTTCACACTGGGTCGTTAACTCGATCTAAAAAAATGATGACTCTAAAAGTTTCATACCAGCGAGTTTGGTAGTTGGGACGCCGCAAAAACCGTGTACACCGGAGCATTATGTTGGAAGTCGAATTTTTGAAACAGTGTTTTTATTCTTTTAAAAATGTATGATACGTTCAAATTTGCACCTATAATTATTTTCTAAATGAAACCATAAATCAGAAACTCTTGTTTATCTCGCACGAGACATTTGGAGCAGAAGGATGACATGAGAAAACAAAACAATTTAGTGAGAGAACTTTTTATCACTATTTTTTTAAAGCATATAACACTCATAGCTCACGTCAAAGGTAAAACCCAATACATGCTATTATATTGCCCAGTATCAACATCAGTATTATATTACAAGTGAAGCAGAGAGAAATAATGACAAAGTAATATACCTGACCTGTGTGAGAACCACTTGCATAAAAATAAGGCAACACCCACCGCCTTCTTGTTTTTCTACTATATTCTGCTTCATCGGCAAAAAAAAAAAAAATTCAGAAAATTTGAATATATATATATATACGTATATATTCTCATGACATATTATGTAAGATTCTTTTTCAAAGTTCCCCACACAAATATCACATCATTTTAAATCCTAATCACGTCCATTTAATGCAGTCCATCTAACAAGTAATGAAAACAAATAGTAATAATTATATTTTGAATTCAGAACATATATTTAACATACATTTTGAAGATAAGATAAAATTTTAAATTAGGAGAAATAAATAGAAACAGAGGAAATAATAGGATCGCGTGACTTTGAGGGGAGAGCAACTGGCAAAAACACAGGATTCTGAATATTTTCCAAAACAAAACAGTAAGTGTGTGTTTGGTTGGAGGGGAGGGGAGGGGAGCCCCTCCCCATTTGGTTAAAAATTTTGGAGGGGAGGAGAGCTAAAATGTCCCCTCCCCTCCCCTCCCTCCCCCCATTTTGGCTCCCTTCCAAATTGGGGGTTTTTGGAGGGGAGTCAAAATTTTGGACCATTATGCCCTTATGATTTTTTTAATATTCCACTTCTATTCATAAAATATATTATTATAATATTTATTTCAAATAAAAATATATTATCCTAAGTAAAAAAAATAAAAAATAAATACATTATTATAATTAAAAATATATTATAAAAATTATTTAAAAATAAAAATTATTTAAATAAAAAATTATAATATTATAAAATTAATTGTTTTTTATAAATATATTATTTATTAAATATATTTTAAAGCTGGAAAAAAGATAGCCTAAGAAAATAAAATTTTATTTTTCTTAGAGCATATAAAATTTGTTAATTTGATTATTTTAAATATATTATTATATTAATTAGAATGAAAAATTACTATACCAATTTTTTAATACACATATTAACATGATAAGACTGAGTTTTTATTAAATTATATAATTTAAATTAAGATGTAAATTAATTTATATAATACATCAATAAAAAAACATAAACTAATATGTAAGGGTAAAATGATAAATTGATTATTACTATCCCTCCCCTCCCCTCTTTTTTAATCAAACCAAACTAAACACACCCTAAGAGTATATGAGGAAAAAGAGGTAAAAGTAGACTTGCAACGCACTCCACGACACCAAGAGGCGGGGAGATTACCAGAAAAGCAAAAGAAAAAGCTTTATTGGCCTCTAATTGGGGCAAAGCCCCCTTCGTTTGCAAACAAGATAAGATACTTCAATTTAAAAAACCATAATATGCGCTTTTATAAAATTCCCCCAGAACAAACGCGCGCGCGCGCGCACGCGATATGCGTTTCCTGCCCGTACTTTGCCTATCTCCTTCCCGTCGCCTCTGCCCACCTCCATCCTCCATTCTTTTTTTAAATCCCAAGTTATTCCCTCCCGTATCTCTCTCCTTTGAGAAAAAGCAGGAAACGAACCCCTATTCCCTTAATTTCTTGTGCTTCTTTTCCATTTTTCCCAATTTAGAATCCACTTAATTCATCTGGAGCAGCATTTAGAAAAATTAAAAGAAATTTCCTTCGCCGAACGTGTCCGATTGCTGTCCAATACAAAAGACATGAGAGGTATTAATCCAAGGAGCCGGAGCAACGACCCCAAAACCAAAAAAAAATAAAAAAAAGAGAAGCTAATCCATCCGGGGAACGTGCTGTGAATGTTACCCAATACCTATCACCGATAGCCGCGAAGCGTCTGCATAGGGTCCGACGCTGAGAGACACGTGTCGAAAGATCCTTGCTTCTTACGAATATTAGCACTAATGATTTTAGAAGCAGAAAGGAGCAATATGAAAAGTAAAGGGTACGCACAAAAAAAAAAAAAAAAGGAAAAGGTGAGGAGCAGTAGTTAGGCAGAGAGGAGAAGAGGGGGTGTGAGAGACAAAGGCATCGAGAGAGTCGGCGCCCCATGTTCCCGCCGACCAATCACCACCCACTTCTAAACTCTCACCTCAACTCCTCTCTTTTTCACTGACCCTTTCATAAACCCCCTTCTTCTCATTTTCATTCCCCTTTCATTTTCCTTTTCTTCCCCGTTCTTCCGTCTGTTTTTCTTGGGTATCGGAAGACCGCCCGGATTTTTATTTTTCACTACTGCACAATCACGTCTTTTGATTTATACATTTTGAGTATCCCCCTTTCTTTATATATCTTCTTTTCCTTTTTGCTACAATTATGAGGGCTGCCTCTGAATCCCCTGTGGTTGAGAGATTAGATGATGGGGAAAAGGAAAAGAAGAAGAAACGCCGATCCAATCGTCGATCCAAACAAACTTCTGCGTCCTCAGGTACCCTCCTGCTTCATCTTCGTATTTCAGTTGCTTTATTTATCTATTTATCTATCACCTGATTGGAATTGGAGGGTCTCGGATAATTTTGCATCTGGCTATGAGAGTTTTATCTTCCCTAGGTTTAAGCTCCATTTTTGGTACATGAGCGGGTTGAGGCTGGCTGGCGGGGCATGGTTTTTTTATTTCCGTTTATTTATTAGAGGATGCGATTCTGCAGAACCGGAACAAAGGGTTTTCAGTTATTACTTTTCTTCTTGTCACTGTCTACTTGATGTTGCCTATCTTGGCTCGTTTTGTCAACGAGCGACATTGCTGCTCCTTTGCCTTGCCGGGCAAGGTTTTCTCTTTTCATTCGAAATCTTCTTGCTTCTCCTATTTGGCAACACAACTATAACTGTATTCTATTCATAGGCCGTCACTTTCCATGACGGATGTAAATCAGCATAGACTAAGGAAGCTCTGATTTTCGATTAAAATGCGGGGAATTCTTTTCGCATCTATCGTTTGGACTAAACTGTTTCGGCTTCATATTGATCCAGTTTCCGTTCGATTCCGGTGTCTCTAAATTTTATTGGACCCCTTTATTGGGAAATTCAGGCCATGCAAAAACCCTCTATAGTGGGTCAGAATATATGCTACCTCAGCTTTGGCCTTTTAATTGAAAAAATAAGTTATGCATTTCTGAAGCAATGCTAAGAATATTTCTTTCTCATGTTGTCTGCTTCACCTCTTTTACGGGCATAACGAAGTCATGAACTCAATATGTAATCCATGTTTTCTTCTCTACCAATTACAATTTTTCCTTTATGATAGCATCTTGTAATTCTGGAAATGAGATACACGGGATGTCATCAGAATGCTCAGGAAACAGCAGGACACCTACTCATGCCGCTGCTTTGTCAAACGATCATTCATTGAAGCAGCAGGAGATCAAGATTTGTTCCCCTGATGAGCATGGGCTTTCCAGGGCATCAAATGTTTCTTTCACCTCCATGCCACCAGTGCATTTCAATGAGCGTCAAATGGATCCTCTGGATTTGCAAAACATTCAACCTAATGGTGGAGGTGTGTGTTCAAAATCATGTTCAGAGCCAGTTGGCTTATCAGCAACTTATAAAAACAAAGACCTGGTCCCTTCTGGTCAGACTGGGACTTGTGTTCAGAGAAATTATTATAGTCCACACTGGTCGATGGAAGCTGTTGAGAAGGCTTTAGAGGTTAGTGTAGTTGTGTGTGTGTGTGTGCGCGTGCTTTTTTTTGTTTTTGTTTTTTTGGAAATTCCAACACCGGAAGTTTTAAGTTGCAACAGTTCTACTGAATAATCTTTGATGAATTTTTTGTTTGTTTTGCAGAGGGGGATGTTTTTAAATCCCTTTTTCGTGTCAATGCCCACAATAGACTTGAGGTTTTTAACATTCTATAAATGTCCATCTAGAGTGTTCTATTGCTTCTCATGATCCCTTTGATGATTGAAGATCTTTTTCCTGCTTGTAGGCATATTGTAAAATTGATGGAGTGCCAACTGATGTTCTCATTAGTGGAATTCCTGCCCAGAATAGAGCTGTAAGTATGGAATTTTATTATAGAATCTACTTGATTTTCCCCTCCCCTCTTTCCTTTATTTATTTCTTTCTTTTCCCCCCCTTTAGATCCATGTTTAGCCTGCAATAGAGGCAACTAGCCAGCTACACCGAGCCACTTTCATGTTTTTAGCATTTGTTACTTTGATGTAATGGATTTTAGGATGCTATTTGCAATGTGCCTTGTAGTGCTTACCTCTCTGTCATGTTCTTTATTTTGGGGGTGGTTAGTGGATTGAAATGACACCCTTTGAGCTTCCTGGTGATTATAATTTTTTTCCTTGGGATCTGCTGCTGCTGTTTATTTTCATCTTCTACAATGATCTTATATTTCTATTATTGCAGTGCTTTTAGGTGGGCCAATTGTTATCATATCAAGTGTGCTTTATACTTCTAGCCAGATAAAGTATTTGATGATTGTTTGTGCAGGTTGATGGTGACACTGTTGCAGTTAAGATAGATCCTTTGGCTTTGTGGACTAAAATGAAAGGATCAAATGGTGCTGGTAATGTTACTGCACCTGTAGAAGATAGTAACCTGCTTACAGAAGATAATGAAGTGGAGGGGAATATATCTGTGCAAATAGGTAAGGTCGATGCTGATTCTGAGTTTGCTAATTACAGCAACTGCCTTGGTCGAGCCAAAGAGGATGTTAATCATGACACTACTAGTTATGGAAGTAATCCTTATCCTGAAAAGAAAGGGCTAAATAATAATTATGCTTCTCCTGTTTCAACCAGCCCTTTAGATCTGCTTGAACCAGTTACTCATGATGGTCATGATGCTGCTTCTGATAACTTAAATATCAGTTCTTATAGTGCTCAAGGTGAAGTTATTAATGCTGTGGAAAACATGTGTTTGCTGGTTAATTCCTTCCCATCTAAAAGACCAACTGGCAGGGTTGTTGCAATTGTTGAGAGATCTCCACGCCGAGAGTGCATTATTGGTCATCTCAATGTTAAGTCAGCATTTTCTTTTAGAGACATGTGCAGAAAAGATGCAAAGAAGAACAAAAAAATGGGTTCTGGCTGTGAGTATATTCAGTTGATGCCAACTGATCCAAAGTTTCCAAAAATGACACTCCTTGTTAGAGATTTGCCTAATTCCATTAAGAAGAGGTTGCAAAGTGGGGATGCTACTCTTGAAATGGATCTGGTAGCTGCACGAATTGGTAACTGGTCTCAAGAAAGTCCATGCCCTCAAGCTCACATATTGCATATTTTTGGACGAGGTGGTGAAATTCAGCCACAATTAGATGCAATTTTGTTTGAGAATGCAGTCTGTGTGTCGGAATTTTCACCTGAAGCTTTGTCCTGCCTTCCATATGTTTCTTGGGAGGTGCCGCAGAAAGAATTTCAAAATAGAATGGACCTTAGAAATTTGTGCGCGCTTACAATTGATCCTTCAACTGCCTCTGATCTGGACGATGCACTGTCCATTGAGAAGTTATCTAATGGAAATTTTAGGGTAGGCATACACATTGCTGACGTCTCCTACTTTGTCTTGCCAAACACAACCATAGATAATGAGGCCCAGTCAAGGTCAACAAGTGTTTATGTGGTGCAAAGAAAGTTATCGATGTTGCCACCATCATTTTCAGAGAATATAGGTTCCCTCAATCCTGGAGTGGATCGACTTGCAGTTTCCATGCTTCTGGACATAAACCTTGATGGGGATGTATTAGATCGTTGGATTGGCCGTACTGTTATAAAATCTTCTTGTAAGCTTTCTTATGAACATGCACAGGACATTATTGATGGGGTTTTTGATGTTGAATGTTTAAACACAATAGGAGATCACTATCCAAAGGTACATGGCCATTTTGGATGGCCTGATGTTATCACATCTGTGAAGAATCTATACGAAATTTCAAGAGTTTTGAAAAATAAGAGGTTTAATGATGGAGCTTTACGACTTGAAAGCCCCAAACTTGTTATCCTGTTTGATGAGGATGGAATTCCTTATGATAGTATGCTCTCAGAACGAAAAGAATCAAATTTCCTTGTTGAAGAATTTATGCTTTTAGCTAATAGAACAGCTGCTGAAGTCATTTGTAGAGCATATCCTGATGCTGCATTATTGCGGAGGCACCCTGAACCTAATTTGCGGAAGCTGAGAGAGCTTGAGGCATTTTGTAACAAACATGGGTTAGAACTAGACACATCTTCATCTGGTCGCCTCCATTGGTCTTTAGAGAAGATCAGGGAAAAGCTCAAGGGTGATCCCACACTTTGTGATATTCTTATTTCATATGCTACAAGGCCAATGCAGTTGGCACAATATTTCTCTAGTGGGGATTTGAAGGACAAACAAAATGATTGGGCTCATTATGCTTTGGCTGTTTCTGCTTACACTCATTTTACGTCGCCTCTGCGCCGGTATCCTGATATTATTGTTCATCGGATGCTACTTGCTGTTGTAGAGGCTGAGGAGATGTATCTGGAGCATAAAAAGACATTGCAGGTTAACAAGGGAGAGGAAGTGCAAGAAAGATGTTTCACTGGTATGAACTTTGGTAAGGAAGCTGCTGAATCTGTGGAAGGGAAGAAGGTGCTATCAGCTTCTGCTTTGAAGCATGGAGTTCCTTCTACTGAATTACTTGTAGATGTTGCTGCTTATTGCAATGCGAGAAAGCTAGCTAGTAGAAATGTCAAGGATGCTTGTGATAAACTTTACATGTGGGTTCTCCTCAAAAAGAAGGAGGTATATCTTCAATTCATTTTTCACTATCTTCTTTCTTGCAGTTTTGAATTATTTGATCTTTTTTTTTTGGTTGCTATTTTGATTTGGAAAAATTCTAATGCATGTTTGACATGGGCGTGGCAAGAACTCACTTCTTGAGTAAAGCTTTCTGCCTCTTGTTTTGCTCCTTTTAGATAGTGTCATTTTACGGCACTCAAAATTCTGTTGAAGTTCACCTTATTCTATTTTATGCTCTGAAAGAATGAATAGCCCTGTGGTTTTCACTTATCGTTAAATTTGTTCTTGAAGTTCAAGTATTGTGGAAATTGGCGTCCTGTTTGAGGGATTTGGTTCTAACTAGGTAGATTTTATTCTGGAACTTTCCGTAACATATGACATTGGGATATCTTTTAAAATAGCATGGCTTTCGAATGTGATGCCTACAACTGTCTAATCAACACCTCCCTTAGTTTGTATCGCTTGACTTGCTAGTACTAACTGATTGAGCAGTTCTTTGTTGTTCTATGTTTTATGCCTACAACACATTCTTGAATATCTTCGTCTGACACTTCAAATTTTTCCATCTTCTGTTCTGCAGGTGTTATTATCGGAAGCAAGAATATTGGGGTTAGGCCCAAGGTTTATGTCAATTTATGTTCAAAGACTAGCTGTAAGTGACTTTGCTTTTCTAACCACTTGCATTTCTGGGTTTACGATTAGGAGTTGGGGGTTCGGGGTGTCTAGACAAATTTTATTTTGAAGCGGAAAAACTTCTGGATCCTCCCAAGTAGGTGACAAAGGGTTGTGGAGCATGGCATCTTATAGCATTTAATTTTTCAACATTGAAGGGTGGGTCGTTAGATATGGAATAAACTTGCACCTTTTGTGAAGGGAACCGCAGTATCCAAGTGCTCTAAGGACAAAAACTAAATAATACTACATGAAATAATGAATTTCTTGTAGAATTTAAATCACAAGAATCATGCATTAGACGCAGAACGTAGAACACTCATTTTTAACTCTTGGCGATGAATACTTACAATTCCCCCGCCCCCCAAAAGCTTTCATAATCTATATGAATTGATGCAATCTAGCACATATTTTTGTGACGTGTTCTCTTTAACAATTTCCTTGTTTCTGATTCTGTTCCTTTTCATTTTCAGATTGAGCGGCGCATATATTATGATGAAATTCCAGGCTTGAACGCAGAATGGCTGGATGTGACCTCCACTTTGGTCCTCAGCATGTGTACTGATAAACGTGCGTTTAGGAGAGGCAGCCCTGGTAAATGGAGGGCATTTGAAGAAGTTGTGTTCCTTTCTTGTCCTTCTAGAGATGGTATTAACGAGTGTGATGCAGTGAAAATGGGAGACACGGATCTTAGTTCCAGATCAGACAGTTCAGGGACTGAAATTGACCCTGCAGTTTTCCCCCTTACCCTGCGCCTTCTTGCGACGGTTCCAGTAGCACTGCATGCTGTTGGTGGGGACGATGGACCTCTTGACATTGGGGTGAGGCTGTTCATGAGCTCCTACTTAAGGTGAGTTGGTAGTCCTGAGGGATGCCCTGAATGGATGCAGAGATGAGGAGGCTGAGTGATCTTAAATATGGATGGATGGATGGATGGATGGGATGGGAAGGACTAGTTGCACTGTAGATAAGTTGTGTATAGTTTGACACTAGAAGGGGGATGGGATGGGTGGGGTTTGCCGATGCTTAAGAACGTGCTTAATGGATAATTTGGGATGCGTAAATAAAGAAAGATAAGGGATTTTGTTGGCAGCTTCGGCCATAGTTGTCTTCCGTTAGCAGAAGCTGCTTGTTGGAATAGGCCCTTGTTTTTGTTGGCCCTTTCCATCATCTACTACTACTACTAGTAGCATTAGGATAATTCATGTTTGCCCGCTTTCGGTTCTCTGATGCAGAGACTGGGAGCCAGAATTCCATTTTCGTTTGACTGCGGCCCAATGCTTTTTTTGATTTTGGGTGGCTATCTCTTGTATTTGTAATTTCATCTTTTGGACGTCTTTGTATTTTTTATTCATATTTTATACTCCTTTCATCTCGCCTTGGGTTACTTCATCGCCATGCTCCATTTTTAATTATTAGTCACTTTTAACTAATTCATACAAATTAAAAAAATAATTGAAGAAATGACTGAGTTAAAATTAATTAATATTCTTGGAATATTATCAAACGTAAATTCTAACCGTCTTTCTTATTTCTGTCTTTTTGGGACAATCTTGAAAAATGAGTTTCACCCATTTGTGGAATGACTTGTAAATTAAAAACGTGGGCTACTTTGTATTTTGAGGAAATCAAAAATTTATGATTTAGAAATTACTAAATCAAAACTAAAACAAGAACAAGTTTGAAGGATAAAAAATTATACTAACTCATTTAAAAAAACACATATTGACTTAGGAATGGAGATTTGTATTTATTAATTAATTAATAGTTTCTTAAAATCAATCAAATCATTATTTCCTTTTACTCAGGCCTGAGTACATGCAACCAGGTCCAGGATATCTAAGAAGGAAACAAATAAGCAACTTAATATTCTTGAAGAACGTGAAGCTGGAGAATGTCCTTTCCCGGGGCGATTGTTACTTCTGTGGACAGTGACTGGTAGTGTTGGTTTTTTATTTGGTAGTCTCTCCCTTTTTTTTCCGCCAACTGTTTCTCTCCTTCGTTGGAGCATATAAAGAAGTAAAGAACTGGACAATAAAAATTGTCATTTTTATGAATTTTTTCCCCTTATAATTTAAAAAGGTGTTTGAGTAGGATGAAAACTATAATTTTAAAAATATTTTTATAGCATATAAAAAAATTTGTCTCAATTTATAAAAAAATATTTCTGAAAAATAATTAATGGGTATCCAAACACCCCTGTCAGAGTGACATGATCGTAGATCTGTAAAATTCACGAGAGAAGGGAGATCGATGGTATTAAACGGTATGCAAAAGTGGGAACTTGCATAGAGGAAATTCAGATATGAGAGGAACCGGAGGACCACTCTTATGCATCGGAGATCTCCTGAGCGATGTGGGTGAGGAAGAAGATGTAGTGTCAGCTCATTCTTCATCACCGTCTTTCTCTTCGTCTTCTGTTTCGGATTCAAACCTCGCTCCTGATCTCACCAAACTCTTCCAGGTTACCGGCTTTATTTTGTGGTTTACTTCGAATCGCTTTGTTCTCGATCTAGATCTCAAATTTCGATGCGGAAATGAAATTCAACCAACTCTATTTACCGAAACCATAAAATTAACAGTGCAGATAATTTTGAACACTTCTAATCTTTTTTCCCCTTCAGAAATTATAGGGTTTTAGAATTAATTCGAAGATATCTTTTTCTTCCCGTTTAGTCACAAGCACCCTTCTTTATCAATCATCGAAATTCCCCTACTCATTTCAGGAAAACTACAAGCACTTGAATAAGGCACTTGCTGGCACAGACCACTCTTGGACGGCTTTGACTCTGAAGGTAATTACAGTTTATCGTTGTCCTTGTATATGTAGCAGTCATCGCATTACAGACCAAGCCAACATCAATCACGAAAAGCTGAGGTTTGTTTGTTCCATGTTGCGTCTGGAGGATTTACCTCCTGGTTATTGCACCCTTTCGGATCTGTTTTCTGTCGTCCGTATTTGTCATCGGGCCTTTTTGTTTTTAATTATATATATATATCTTTCTTTAATGGACCATTTATCTTTCTCACTTCAATATTCATATGTCCTGTACCGTCACTTTATTTATAACTTCTCTTCAATTTTTTGAACTCCAGCTATGCACTGCCCTGGAAACTGCGAACGACTTGCTTCAGTCTACCAACTCAAATGTTGGATTGTTGGCAGAGAAGGTTGGACAGCTTCAGAGAGTTGTGAAGAGAGCGGATTCTGCCATAACAGCTGCAAAGGCTCTCCATGTTAATCTGGATGAAGATAAAGGGGCCGATATTGACAACGCAAAATTCAAGTAAATTCAAGTCTTGCTGCGAGATTAGGTTAGTAAAATTTCACATGGTATTTTACCGCTCAACAATACAAATGTATCTTTGTTATTTATGAACAAAACATCCGAGTGGAGAAGTATGGAAAATGCCTGAGTAGATCATTATTACTTTTATCATGTCAAAGGGTCCTTTAAAAATAAAAAAAAAAACTTCGCTATTGTTTGGCTGCTTTTCTTTTCTTCTTCGCATGCAACATGCTGGTGACATAAACCCAAAACTGGGATCATTTGTCAATTGGAACAGAAGTTGTGAAGCATGTCGGTTCTTATACCATTTCTCTTCCTAAACTTTAATGATTACATCCACCACTAGGCAGTAACCTGTATGAGTTGACTCTGATTTGGGCATTTGAACACCAAGTTATTAGGGAGAAATCGCTTGAATATGGCGTTATTCTGTTACGTATTAAACACAGGGCATATTAACTACGTAAAGTCACTTCAGTGGCCACGTGAAGTCCAATGAAGGCCTAATTGTTCTGAATACAAAACTGGGTTACTTCGATTGTTGACGTCCCTGAAGGTAAGCATGTGGTGTGTTGTTCTTGCTTCTTGTTAGGAGCGTGAGGACTGAAAATATACATACCCTGAAAAAGTATATTATCAGCAAGAAATATTTTGATTCTTTGCTCAGCCAATCCGATGCTGATTTCATGCCACTATCTGTGGGCAACCGGGATACGGTTAACTTCGTCTAGCATGATAAATTGTTATGTCAGCTACTTGGCACCTCGTAGCGGAGAATTCTTTGTCGATTCATTGTTTTATCTATCATTTCAGAAACTGGCCTTGAACTGACAAAAAAGCTGGATAGCTTGAGAGTTGATGCCCGCATTTCGGCCGAGATCAGCGTACTGAACAATTTGTATTAGTTAGAGATGGTACCCAACTGTTCAGGGGGTTCGAGCAAAAATGCCCGCACGCTCCTAAAGATAGAGAGATGCGGCCTTGTGCTTGCTTAAATATGATGGATTGGCTCCTGAGAGATGTTGAGTTGCGCTCAGAAACAGTGGAGTTAATAATTCTGCTGAGTAGTGGAAACTCAGTCAAGTAATATGGGACATTCAAACTCCGATGGCAGATCTTTCTCGCACTTCAGATGCTGCTGAGGTCGGGGATCAAGCGGTAACCTTCCCCACGACACCCCCCCCCCCTTTTTGGGGGGGGGGGGGGTAAATAAAAACGGGCAAAACTCTCCAATTCAGATTTTAACATTGGTCAGTTTAACTAACTGGACTGAGAACTATACAGTCCCGCGTGGATTTTGAATGGTTACGACTGAGTGTTGATAGATTCGTCCTCTTTTTTAAATTATACACCATTGAACGGTGTGTTGGTCGATTGACAATCTCATTTTCTTCCCATTGACTGCACATGACGGTTAGAGGTGTTCGATTTTCAACTTTTGTGAGTATGATGTAAATCCAATTAAAAGGAGTCCAATCTTTATCTTTAATTGGTACTCTAAGGAGAATTAGTTTCTACTGTCAGTGTAGAACATCCATGTATACCCAAAAAAATAAAACAAGTGATAGATTTGGAATACTATTTGCTTCAAGTAGAGTGGAGATCGATGATGTAATACTTTCCATCTAATTTCGAAAAGAGTCAAGATGTATGATCAACTATAATAAAATTCAGAAAAAGTAAGAATAGATCACACCTTATAGCAACTTGGTGCATGGAACGTTATAATTGTCGTATATGGTAATCTGGGTTTGATAAGGGGCCTACTCAAAGTGAGTGCTGACCAGAAGCCCAAATATATAACTATAACTGCTGTCAGTTTAGACAATCCTCCGCCCCACGTAACGGCAAGAAGACAACAGGTAATTACAAGCCTCCATTTGCTCTCCTGACCTATGAACTGATGTTGCCATTTGCATAATTTCCATATATTTTCTGTCTAACAGATAAAATTAAACAAACAAAACCTCAATGATGCTTTCAAAGCTACGAATGAAAGGCGAAAAAGGGACAATTCTTTTTTTTGGGTGCAAATTAAATTATGTGTGGAGATTCTCTCTCACCAAACAAGACAAGTAAGTAACTCTGCTTAAGCCCTTTAACTAATTAATCCAAAGATGATGCAGGTGCAGGCGAATCAGCGACATCATTAGACTTCTTCTTTAACTATTCGATCATTAACTCACCTCGGCCAACTTGATAACGATAAACGAACAGTGTTCTTTAGCATTAACCCCGACCCTTCAGACCAAACCACCCTCCCCCCCGGGGGGGAGAGCCTTCAACATCTATAATCCTCTCTCTATTACTAAATATAAAAACTTACCTGATTCATAGAAATTAAGAAAATTGACTATTTTTCATTATTATATAAACAAAGTGTATTATTTTTTAAAACATCTGAAAGTATTAATTATTGAATGAAGAGTCTATATAATTGGAACACATATAAACGGCGCCTGGTTCTTTGGTTGCTAAGTTGTTTTCCTACTTCTTACATTTGCCGAGTATGGGTACCATTTCCTATTTCTTATTAATACGATTAGACGATTAGAATTAGAACTATAGGCTATGCTGTTAAGGAATGGTTTGTGTCTCAAAATTTATATGTAGCTTAATCTGTCAGACTGTCACTTTGACTTGTTAATCCTCTTCGTTGTTGAGTTGATAGGATCCTCATCTCCATAATTTCGGAGTCACAAGATATGAATTTTCAGCGTTCATATCTTAATAGGTTCAAAGCTCCTCCCTCCGTTACAGAACCAAACCAAACTAGCCACAGAAAAAATTGAAGATCGTGTTAAGTTTGACGATTTGGTTCAACTTTAATTTGCTTCTGAAACGATAACATATTGAAATCGAGTACAGTAAAGTGCCCACAGAATATAAATGAGAAGTGTAAGGCCACAACCACGAGACAAGCCACTTTATGCACTGATTCATTCATCTTCAATCATATATACATTTACAGCTTCATATTGATATCCAAAATGATCATAACAAACGGTTTCAGAATACATACATACATACATATGGTAGATCAAGGCATCACAAATAGCGCATAAATGATTTAACAATTTACTGCTCCCTTATTAACGGCAGAAAACGATGAAACACGAAACATGTGGTATTACTATATTTGGCTGTCAAATTTGGACTTCAATCATCAATTACAGAGGTTATATTAATATAGTAATGTATGTATGTGGTGGGTGGCTCAATATTTGGGATTATATATATAGTAATTGCTCCCTCCAAGCTAGCTATAGTAGCCGTAGCTAGTTAAACGCAACGGCGTTGCATTAATATTGCGAGGTGAATATCAACCACGTAGTGCAAGTCACAATTGTGTCATTGAAAAAAGAAACATAATAGGGAATCTTGGCTATTCGCAAGAGACAGGGAATATCTCCATGACTTGATTACATGGGAATATACAAATGAGGAGGCTTGTGTCATCAAAAGAGTTGACAAGCTCAACATTAATCATAATGCTTTGGGACTAGCTAGTTGGTAGTAGTTTTAGTAATCAACCTGTGATAATTTAATTTGTTTATATATATACGCACCATGTGTGTTTGACCCTGGGCACATAAAACATGCTAGTATATTTAATTTGTGCAATTTGTCCAGAGGACAGCGATGTTTACAAATGTACAGCATTAATTTGGCGATTTAAATTGGTTGATATGCACTTGAAGGATTAAAAGAATCCAGTTTGGCTCCAATAAAGCCAAGATAAAATAACAGAGCAAATCAAGCATTGTCAATCCATATCCCTATTCTACGTTAAAATTAATCCATTCATTTCAACATCCACGCCATGGATCGGCAACATCATATAACTCTATTCTTAGCTCTTCGTTTTTATTCACCTTGTTTAAGATTTTGTTTCAGTCGCATGTGCGCGTGCACTACTTAAAGTTTTCTCAGATTTTACACACACACATTCTCTCTCCCCACTCTCTCGTTTTAAAAGCGTTGGCAGGCATCTTTGAACTTTGATACGCGCACATGTATCAAAGTTTAGTTATTATATGTCTTCATTACTTTCAGACTTCGCTATTATTATTACTGCTTTCTAAAAATTTTCTGTCTGCATAAAAATCACGAGAATTACATTTAATTATTGCATATAGCATCTTGTAGTTATTTACACAAACTGCAAGTAGATCATCGATTCTTCCTTTAACACAAGAGATCAATGATTATATACATGCCACAGTTATTATATATATTAATCATATTTCTGTTCAATATCTAATATCTTACGCATTCATTTGTGTCGATCGTACGATTATATTTAACGAATGAATAATCAGAATTAATTAAAGCAAGTGTAGAATTAATAAAAAGAGTGTGATAATGTATAGTTATATATGTCTGTGGCCTCCCAAGAGGATGAAAAGAGAGAGGCTGCCTCACAAAGAATTGACGAGACTGATCCTTGCCTGTGTTTAAGGAACATGTATGCTTGCCGGCCTTTCATTGTTTTCTTTAAAACGTTGGACTCTTACCAATTTTGGGTTCCATATTAATATATATTTAATTAATCCCACAATATATGCAAAGTCTGAATTAATCTGACAAATATTAGAGCAGGCGCATGCATGCTCATCGTATATATAATTCAATCAATGAAGGAAATTAGAGCACTAATGTCACTTTCATTAATGACTTTCACAGGTCAGGCTCCTTCTTTGCTTCCCAGTTCCCATTCTGCCGACCTGAAACTCAGTGGGAAGCAAGCATAATCTCTTCTCTTCATTAATTTAATTAACCACTAATTATTAATCAACACATATATACACTCAGCTTGGCGCTACTTCGTCTAACCTTTCAATATAATCATATGTCAATGTTCGTGGAATCTTCATAGCAAGATTTCGTTGACATTAATTATTAATTATTTTGATTCAAATTCATGCTAGTTGGTTCCTTGCTCCATCCAGCTAATAGACTAATTTGACCATAATATATTTTAGTTTTATTTGCATAGTAAATTTACAGATTGTGGTGATGTATATATGATTATAAGGACCAGAATATTATAGTCCTGATATATACATCAACTCATGCAATAATTCAAAATGGTGACTTCAAATTAAAATGGTTTATTCTGATTCCATCTGCGTTTGTTATGATCAAATAATGTTCCACATTTTCGGTCGTCGTACGTTTTCTGGAATCCTCTTGTTTTGGTAACCTTTGAAAACCCACATGCGACTAAGGCTTCACACCTTTTTTTATTTTCCCCTCCTGCCTGCTCTTATAATGAAGTGAATCAGATTTCATGTTCTTAGTTATTTTAAACGTCTAGAGTGTCATTATATTTTGTCCTCATTGATAGCTCTAAATTATTCATTATTTACTTACGTCATCTACGACGCATGACCTTATTTTTAATAATGCCATTATTGCTTTGCTGGCATATAATAGGAGTTAGAATCTTCGCATATATTCAACCACGTATATATTCTCAAGGTATCATCGTATTCGTACGTATACCGCGGAGATTAGGCTACTGATGATGTATGAATACTCTTGCGATCCGATTGGTTTTTTTCCCCCCTTAATTTTTTATTATTTATTTGAAATTTTTATAATGATTCTTATAGCTTGTCGACCATCGATTCCTTGGCCAGCACAAATGGTCAATGCTTGATATATGGCATAAGTTAGGCATCTACTGGACTTTCTATCTAATGCTCATGATTCAAACCATGAATCTTATGTCTTCGTATGTTTGCTTTTTGGGCGGAAAAAAAAGTAGAAATAAAAACTTTGCCATACGCATGTTCTTATTTTACATCTGATTTCTCAAAGTCATATATAGTCAGGGTGTACACTAGCTGCGCATAAGCCTCAATGATTACATTAAAATTAACTCCAGCTATAGTGATTCCGCTTAACGTGTCTTTTGATGATATGAACATGCATGAAAGTTAAAAAACAGTTTAAGGAGAAAAATTGAAAGGCCCGGTAGAAATGTATCAGTGAAGACGAAAGTGATGACATCTTTACTGAGCCATCGATCATTCTCTGAAAATTCGTATAATAAGTAAAGGGCAGAAAAACGCGCGCGCACACTGTCACTCATCTCACTCACACACGGGACACACAGACAGGGAGATTAAAATACATCTTAGCTATGGGCAAAATCGAAACAGGTCTTTTGGAATCGACGGACATCACTGAATCCAAATATAGATTTATTTGGATCGAGAGCTGTGAAGAAACGGAGTCGCAGAAGCTTAGCTTGTTGTCAGTATTGATTGGAAATAAAAGTTGATCAATTTATAGTGTCGACAATACGATTATAAGCATATTTTCCGGGTTTTTTTTGGGTTAATTCTTAAGCCTCTTCATCCTCTTTAGAGGCTGTTTTAATTTGTCCAGTTAAATTCTTCCACGTAATGAATAATATAAGAGCGCATTCATTCCTTGCTTACATTGGAAGAATTATTTACAAAATCCAAATGTCTTTTCGTGAATTTAAAACATATCATTTTAATTAGAAGCGTAGTAACATAGATGATTCTACATATCCTTAATTTAATGGTGCCCAAGGTCATG